TCGTCTGTTTATTTTGCAAATAGGTTTATTCTATCGACATTTTGACCGAATTTCGTCCCGTCTTCGAAAACGAGTTTTTGGAGTAATATACGCCCTAGACGTCCGTCTTTTGCTTATGTATACTGCTTCGTCGTCTCTGACCGTGTTTATATTTGAGTGCGTTAACTTGCTGCTACGAGCAATCACATGCAATTCCTTAATAAATGGGAGAGGATTTTTTTTAGCTAGAAGAGTAATAAAGCTGTGCGCATATTGCATTCCACAATTTACGAGCTTAAAAGGGAGAATTGCAGCTCAGTAGACCGAGAAGAAACCTCCCAGAGGTCTCAACTATCTCTACAACACGAGCCATCATATACAGTAGCTATTCATATAGTAGCAGCAGCGTATTTATACGATCACAGAGTAACTATGCTGTAACGATAGCATATATGTGCACGGTAACTATATATGTATCAGGAGTGTATAATAGGGAGTGTATATAACCCTATTATACACTCCTGATATGTATGCAGTAACTATACTGAAGTAGCAGCATATATACACGAGCGTACAGTAGCTATGTTAGAGTAGTAGCATATATATGTACGAACATAGAGTATCTATACTATAATAGCGGCATATAATGTACGAACATATCGTAACTATACTGTAATAGCGGCATATAATGTACGAACATAGAGTATCTATACTATAATAGCGGCATATAATGTACGAACATATCGTAACTATACTGTAATAGCGGCATATGTGTACAACATTACGATAACTACGCTATACAATAGCAGCAATGTGTACATACCAGCAGCATATATGTACGAGCACACAGCAGCTATGATATAGCAGTAACATAAATCTAAGCGTATACGGCACATATACGGCTTATGCCAGCAATATATAACCACTCTAATGACCACAGAGACACATAGTTTTCCCAGCGTCATTGGAATGCGTTAACGAACATAATTAGTACGACTGCGGCATCAGAAGTGACACTGATTAGAATTTGTAGACTAATGTGCGTGGAGACTAGATGAAATACGCCACAACGTCTATTTTTTCAAGACATCACCTGTCATTATTTTATGGTTCGCGTCAACGAATCGTGGGTTAATTTATAGCTTTGATACAATGATAAATTGGGATTTTATATGTATGCTTTAATGTGAGAGTATTGCCCTCGGTTATTTATGGGTAATCTTAGCATATGATAACTATTTTGTGCTCATATACAATGATGCCATAAATAACAGAAGTTATCTAACAGAAAAATTAGTTTAGATAATCATGGCGTCGACGTGATGTTCATTTGTCGTTCTTGAGACGCGGGAACATTCACCGTAAAGTGTTAGAAGACGAGGGAGGCGAGTGCTCTTCGCTCCTGGGCTGTTCACCTATTCGAGTGCTAGCAACTAGAAACGCGTCTATTTTCCGGTTCTTTCCTAATTCCTTATCATTAAGTAAGCGTTTACACCGCCACTAAATGCTGTACACCCGCTGGGGAGTCATGACTGAATGCAGAGTTACCGACGCAGAACAGTGGCACAGCTCTAACTAATGCCTCATGCGTGTGTGCGCATATACTCCCTCTCTTTACTATTCAGCAGCGAGTGAACGTTTTTGAACATTCGCAGTGAATCAGTCTATAGACATTAAACACTCATTCTAAAAAGAAGTTGCCTTGGAACATCGCCAGAAAAAAAACATGGCTACTGGGAGCCCTGATAACGTCTATCATTTTACGTTAGCGCTTCTGTTGCTTCTGGCTTTGATTAGGTGTGCGATGCGATGTGTCAGTGTTCGTAGTCGTCTATAGTGGCAGCGTAAACCACCCACGATGTCTGACACGTTCCCGCGCACTCGCGTGCCAGGAAAATACCTGAAAATTATTTCTCAAGGCCAGGGATTTCGGTTTAAAAAGTCGTTTAAGTGTTAAGCATTACAAAAATTGAGCCACCTGTTTATAAACTCGTGTGAGTATCCAGCCAGGGAATTAAAAAAAGTCGGTTAAATGTTAAGCATTAGGAGAATTGAGCCCTTTGTTTATAAACGTGTGTGAGTATATCGATTATAATTCGGATTATTATAATGACTGTGATTTCCACTTTCGGTTTGTCGCAATCGCATTTTTATCGGCAAAAAATGGTCGCATTGCGCCTGCTTCTCTCAGGGAATCACGAATTAATGAATTTACCCGCAGTTGTCCCGGATAACGAGAAGTAAATACATGCGAGAGAACCGTAGAGAGTTTCTGCGCAACATAAAATGCGAGTTGAGTCTCTCTCTCTGCATCTAATGAAGATGGATTCGGTTCTCACTGAGTATAGGTAATCTATATCGAGCTCGTCTGTGCCATAAATACTGCTGCTCCTGAAATTCTGGAGACGTGATGGTTGCAGCCCACGGGCATCCCGCTAGATTTATCACACTGACTGGGCCGTGGTTGGTACATACTCAGCAAACCACACCTACTAAGCACAGACGACATTAAAACTCCTGGGTTGGGTTTTGGGCGCGTCTTAAATCGGCAATCGGGAATGATATCAGCCCCCCCAAAAAAAGGAAAGCAGCGGGAGTTAACCGAATTTGCAGTTACGTGGCGTAAAACACGGTACTCTCTCGACAATATAATAGTAACATGAATTGCGTATGTGCGGCGTTCGATTGAAAGATTTCGATGTCGTGCTGTGTTAGGCGTCAGCCGTTTAAAGATGGTTTTATCGGACGAGCGCTCGTGGCTGCAAGGCGCCGGGCGGGGTTCCACTTACTGACTGCTGTGCTGTAAATCACTACGGTAGCGCGCTGCTGCACACAGGTGCAGGGCTCCCCGTGCCCAGGTTCCTCGGTAGCAAATACAACGTTTCCACGTAGCAAATACGTCCATGAGAACCCAAAGTGTGTGCATTTCATTTTCTTAAACGGTCCCGAGCATTCGGTTTTTGATGGGACTGCATCCACGTAAACAATACAGACAGTGTAGAATTACGGTTCGCACGACAATACCCGTGACGTTGCAATATATGGCGAACGCAACAACGTGATCGGTCAACGAGCAGTCGCTATTGATATTTCGTGATAATACCGTTACGGAAGAAAAGGAGAATCGGAGATGTCTTGCTATTGCAAGGATATGATGGTGTCATGTGTAGAGGCGTACAAGAATGCACGTGTAAGTGATATATATATATATATAATATATATATCTCTGGCGCGGGTAAACGTGTGAGTATAACAACCAAGGCATATCTTTTCGGTGAGGGTACTCGCAACGCGTCTATTCAAGTCGGTACAAAAGCTTTAAGAAGGGAAGCTCTAGCAAGTACGGTAGATTCTTTTTACGTATGTGTCATGCTACGTTCCTCCTCACTCTTAATCATGCGCACGAGAAGTGTGGGGTTAGATGATAGGATTAGGATTAGAGAGTTGCTTGATATAATTACAGATAGAAATAGGCTTATACCTAGGTTAAGTGGCCATTCACTTACGCATGTCCTTGAATAACGTAGCAAGGTCATTGTTAGCGATAGGCTTATGTGTAGGTCAGGTGCAGGGTAGGAAGATGAGATGCAGTATTAATAACCATTTTCATAGCTGATCGAGATTGACAGCAGCCGTTGTTTGTGACTCATTGTCGAGGATGAGAATCGAACCTAGGAGAGACCTATGAAAATATACCCTTCAAAATTACCGTCCTTTACAGTGAAGTAGAACAGCGAAAGGCTTATTTTATCATATAAATAGGTGTTGTACGTCACATTGTCTAATTTTCGTAATGATTCAATAATGGCAGAACATCCAAATTGATTCTCTAAAAAGATAACACTTTATAATTAGTGATCTCGTCTCCACTCTCACAATCCGATGTAGACCCAATCCGTGTTGCTAGGGCGATCAGGAGGCAGACGCCGTCCTTGTTGCTAGGACGGTGGGGAGGCAGCGTCCTTGTTGCTAGGACGGTGGGGAGGCTGACTCCGTCCTTGTTGCTAGGGCGGTGGGGAGGCAGACTCCGTCCTTGTTGCTAGGGCGGTGGGGATGCAGACTCCATCCTTGTTGCTAGGACGGTGGGGAGGCAGCGTCCTTGTTGCTAGGACGGTGGGGAGGCAGACTCCGTCCTTGTTGCTAGGGCGGTGGGGAGGCAGACTCCGTCCTTGTTGCTAGGGCGGTGGGGATGCAGACTCCATCCTTGTTGCTAGAGCGGTAGGGAGGCTGACTCCATCCTTGTTGCTAGGGCGGTGGGGATGCAGACTTCGTCCTTGTTGCTAGGGCGGTGAGGAGGCAGACTTCGTCATTGTTGCTAGGGCGGTGGGGAGGCAGACTCCGTTCTTGTTGCTAGGGTGGGCCGTTTGCCGCCAGTAGGTATACTGTACTGTTCACTAATTTCGACTGTTACCGGCCAGCCTCCTTCTTAACTCAATCACTCTCTGCGTCTGTCTTGCGTAATACATCGTCTGGTAAACAAGTGCGATGATGTGTATAATACAATCTTAGTTTTGCCCGACCAAAATCTGTCACTCTGCTTTCGGACATGTACCAGACGGTCCATGCTTCATGTTGCAGATGGTTATGATATAATATAGTGATTATGTAATATTTTTATTAAAATGTAGTTGTTACGTAGTTTTGTTATTTTCATGTTTGTTTGTTCATCTGTCTATAGTGTCTATAACCGTTTATGTTATACTAAGTATGCACGAGATTGACTGGCTAGGATGCGTTATCCTGGTTTTCACCATACGTACAGTATTTACCTAACCTGTGCACCCAACCGTTGTAACTGCACGAATTATTTATGTGCCACTTCTGTCTTTACTGTTTTGCTAGTCTATCAGTGAATAAAACATTAATTTCATATCAACAGCAGATTTCAACTTCAAAACGAAAAAAAGGTTATTTATGTCCGAATTTTACAGTAATTTACGTACTCCGAGATAAAAATGAATTAGAGAGAGTTGTTATGCGAAATCAATTAATGTGATTGCGTTGTTGCTATCGATTTATAGCAGGCCGGTGAGAGAGTCAGCAGACAACAACAGTCGGCAGAGCAGCAATATAATGCACCGTCCAATATCGTAAGTATCGTCTGACCACAGTCTCTGTATCTCCATCAGAAAATCACAAGAGTTTCTCTCCGTATTTGCAATTAGCGTGCTATCATTAACACAGCTCGTTGCTCATTGGGGAACGCTCGTCCGCGAAACGACCGCTTGGTGTCACTGCTGTCGTCGTTAGGAGAGTTGGCCGCGCCGCGTGTGAGATATCGAGAAAAAAACACAACGTAGAAGTAGACAACGTAGAAGTAGGCAACGTAGAAGTAGACGTAGATATAGACAACGAAGAAGTAGACATAGAAGTAGACGTAGAAGTGAGACAACGTAGAAGTAGACGTAGAAGTAGACGTAGAAGGTAACGCACGCACGCACGCACACATGCACGCACGTAACGCACGCACGTACGCACACACACACACACACACACACACACACACACACACACACAC